ATCGAGGTTATTGTTGGTGCCAAGGTTGGAGAGAAGGTGTTGATTTTGGACATGTGTAGTATAACTGTATGAAAAGTATGGCAATTCATTTGTGATTGGGTCTTTGGCATGAGCTGGAGTTGTGAAATTTGATATGTAAGCTTCTATTGGTATATAATTTTGAGAGAAGCAGGTGAATTTGGGAATACGTACTATGATAGTTATGATTAGGAAATTTAATCTAAAAGAAAAAATTATGAGTACTAAAAAGGCCTAACTCGATCTTAAGGTGGACATTTTGCTGAAGAAGTAGCTAGCACTTGCTAGTAAGCCTATATAAAATGTTGGGAATAGAAAAGAAACTGAGAAATGAAAAGAAACGGGTGAGGGGGGAAGAGGAGTATCATTAGAAGCCAATCTAATATTACAATTTGTCCAAAAAATCTGTTCTTAAAATTTTCAAAATCTATTTTTAAATCAGAACTCTTCTACTTCTTGGAAATCCGAAATCAATGAATCACACACCAAAGTTGAATACAAAACCCCTTCTCCAAAATCTGAATCTTCTATCTGTTTTCGTAATCAATTGAATAAACGCTATTCATTAATGTCACTTAAATTCAGAAAACGAATCAATTAATTCATGGATGGATGATTCAAAAGAAGCGTGAATAAATTACGTCACAGAATTTGAGGTAACATCCCGACCAAAAAAAAAAAAAGAACAATATCCAAATAAAATTGAATTAAAATGTAGAATCGGTTCCTTATCACGATGTTTAAGATAAAAAAAAAACAACGGAAAAAATCGTGTCTAGACCACTCTCGAGTTAGATCGAACAATGGAGATGGTTTATGGATAACTCGGAGTTGCCATATGGCAGAAATTGTGAGATAAAATGGGAAAGGGACACGGAATCCATGAAGATGAGATTATACGAAAAGGGGGGATGAAGCCCGCACTATTAAGGATAGAGCCTTGAATTAGCACTGGCATTGATGTTGTACCAAGGATGCTTGGTCTTGGAAATGGTAAAATTGGAAATTTTGGAAAATTCTCCACATTACGGTCATATGGCAGAAATTGTGAGATAAAAATGGGTAAGGGAAGGGGGTCTATAAAGATGAGATTATTCGAAATGGGGATGGAACTCGCACTATTAAGGATAAAGCTTTGAATTTGTGCAAAGGCAATTGATGTTATACCAAAGATGCTTGGTGTTGAAAATGGTATAAATTAGTCCAAATTTTGGAAAATCTCCCATATAACGGCCATATGGTAAAAATTGTGCGATAAAATGGGAAAGGGGCAGGGATGAGATTATTTGAAATAGGGATGAAACTCCTACTATTAAGGATATAGCTTTGAATTTTTGCTCCGGCAATGATATTATAGAAGGGTATTGGATAATGATAATGGAATATTTCGGTCCGCTTTTTGATATAGCCCCCATATAATGGTACTTCCAGATTTTAGTTATTTTGAAGATTACGATCACAAATACTTACCAAAGTAGCTGCTATTTGATAAATCGGATTCTTAGAGGGCAGTTAAACTCCAAACGAAAAAAATGTGCAATGTAGGTCCACTTTTAGGTTTAACCCCCTTATAATGGGGCCTCCCTCGGGATTTTGAAGGTTTCGCTTTCAATTTCGAAGCAAATCAGCTGTAATTAGATATTTAGAGTTCTGAGTGGATTTTTTTTTTTTTTTTTTGTTAAAAATGTTTCAATGTTGGGCCACTTTTTTTATAGGCCCCATATGACTGTACCATTCGATTTTCGGTATTTCTAAGCTTTCGATCCCAGTTCTCAACCAAATCAATTGAAATTTAAGATTTGGAGTTTACGTTGGGTATTTAACTCCTCGCAAAATATTATTCAATGTGGGTCCACTTTTTGGTATAGGTCCCATATAACTGTATCTCTTGATTTTCAGAATTTTTGGGAATTTCGGTTCTAATTTCTTACTAAATCACCTCCAATTTGGTATTTCGGTCTCTCTATGGGTTTTTTAAATCCTCGCAAAAAATATATGTTGATGTAGATTCACTTTTGGTATAACACCCATATAACTGTACCTCCAGATTGTCGGTATTTCAAAGGTTTCGACTCCAATTTCCAACTAAATCAATTAACTTCGGAATTTACGTAGGGTATTGGAACTCCTCGATAAAAAAAATATTCAATGCTGGTTCACTTTTTGGTATAGACCCCATATAACTATACCTCCCGATTTTCGGTATTTTGAAGGTATCGGCGGAAAATTCTAACCAAATGAACTGTTATTTGGCACATAGCGTTCTCTGTGGATAGTTAGACTCTTTGTCAGAAATATTCAATGAAGTTCCTGTTTTTGGTATGGCCCCATATGACTGTACCTCCGGATTTTCATAAATTTGTGAATTTCGGTTCAAATTTCTATTCAAATCATTTGTAGTTTGGCATTTCAGGCTCTCAGTGGGAATTTTAACTCCTCGCAAAAAATATTTTATGTAGATTCACTTTTTGGTATAGGCCTCATATAACTGTACCTCCCGATTTCCAGGTATTTCAAAGATTTCTGTCACAATTTTCCACCAAATCAGCTGTAACTTGGTAATTAGGGTTCACAGTAAGTATTTCAACTACTCGCAAAAAATATTTTATGAAGGTCCACTTTTAGGTGTAGACCCCATGTGACTGTACCTCCTAATTTTCGGTATTTAGAAAGTTTTTAGCCCCAATTTCCAGCCAAATCAGCTGTAATTTAGTATTTCGCGTTCTCAGTGAGTATTTCACCTCCTCACAAAAATTATCCAAAATTGGACCACGCTTGGGGATAGACCCCATGTAATTGTACCTCCTGATTTTCGGTATTTTGAAGATTTCTGCCACAATTTCCAACCAAATCACCTGTAATTTGCTAATTAGGGTTCTCAGTGAGTATTTCATCTCCTCATAAAAATTATTCAAAATTTGTCTACGCTTTGTTATAGACCCCATTTAATTGTACCTCCTGATTTTGGGCATTTTGAATATTTCTGCCTCAATTTCCAACCAAATCAGCTATAATTCGAAGTTTGGAGCTCTGGGTGGATATTTTAACTCCTTACAAAAAATATTCCAAGTTGGTCCACGTTTTGGTATAGACGCCATATAACTGTACCTCTGCTTTTTCGATATTTTAAAGGTTTTGGTTCCAATTTCCAACCAAATTAGCTGTAATTCGAAGTTTGGAGCTCTGGGTGGATACTTTAACTCTCTACAAAAAATATTCCAAGTTGGTCCACGTTTTGGTATAGACCCCATATAACTGTACCTCCTGATATTCGGTATTTCGAAAGTTTTGGCCACATATTCCAACCAAAGCAGCTGTAATTTTGTAGATCGGGTTCTTAATGGGTATTTTAACTCCTCGTAAAAAATATATAATGTAGGTTCACTTTTTAGAATAGGCCCCATATGACTGTACCTCCCAATTTTCGATATTTTAAGACTTTCGGTTCCAATTTCCAACCAAATTAGCTGTAATTTGGTAGTTAGGATTTTCAGTGAGTATTTTACCTCCTTTCCAAAAATATTTCATGTAGGACCAACTTTTGGTATAGGTCCCATGTATCCGTACCTCCTAATTTTCGGTATTTTGAAGATTTCTGCCACAATTTCCATCCGAAACAGCTGTAATTTGGTAGTTGGGGTTCTCAGTGAGTATTTAACCTCCCTACAAAAAATATTCAAGGTTGTCCACGTTTTGATATAGACCCCATATAACTGCACCTCCCGATTTCCAGGTATTTCAAAGATTTCTGTCACAATTTTCCACCAAATCAGCTGTAACTTGGTAATTAGAGTTCTCAGTAAGTATTTCACCTCATAGCAAAAAATATTTTATGCAGATCCACTTTTAGGTGTAGACCCCATGTGACTGTACCTCCTAATTTTCGGAATTTCGAAGGTTTTTAGCCCCAATTTCCAACTAAATCAGCTGTAATTTGGTATTTCGAGTTCTCAGTGAGTATTTCACCTCCTCACAAAAATTATCCAAAATTGGTCCACGCTTGGGGATAGACCCCATATAACAGTACCTCCTGATTTTCGGTATTTTGGGGATTTCTGCCATACTTTCCAACCAAATTAGCTGTAATTCGAATATTGCAGCACCTCCTTACAAAAAATACTATAAGTTGGCCCATAATTTGGTATAGTCCTATGTAGCTGTTCCTCCGGATTTTCGGTATTTTAAATTAAAACCAAATCAGCTGTAATTTGATGTTTGGGGTCCTGGGTGAATATCTTAACCTCTCTTAAAAAAATATTAAATATAGGTCCATATTTTGGGCATAGTCCCCATATTACTCTACCTGCTGATTTTGGGTATTATAAAGGGTTAGGCCCTAATTTCCTTAGCGAGTTTTTGGTGTGTGTTTTTAATCCTTGTAAAAAATATTCAATGTTGGTTCACGTTTCCATATAGCCTCCAGATTTTTGTACCTCCAGATTTTCAGTGTTTTGAAGGTTTTTGGGCCAAATTTTCAACCAAAGCACCTAAAATTTGGTAGATCGGGTTCTTGGTGGGTAATTTTTCTCCCAGCTAAAAAAGTCTTCTAAGTAGGCCCACTTTTCGCTATAGCCCCATATGACTGTACTTCCCTATATTTTGAAGGTTTCGGTTATTTGGCCATAAGTCAAATTTTTTGTAGCCGGAAGTCATAAAAATTTCGTTTAACTCGTCATAATCTCCTTTCCTTTATCCAACCTAGAAAATCTCCCCTTTTTTATTTCACATTTCCCCCTTTTCACACCCCCAACAATGTGGCAACTCTCTCTCTCCGTGTGTCTGTGTTCCCTCTCTCAGCCATTGATGTTGTCTATGACCGCTACTAATAAGCTTTTTTTGCGATTCAAGCAAAACCCCAAAATTACCAACAAACAAACGACAACAAATTTGTTGTTGTTTTTGGTGTTGTTGCTGTTGTAAAACAAGTATTTTGAAAGAAGCTGATTTTGATATTTAAGCTTGTTTCAGGCTTGGCGCATTGCTTGGAGTTCAGCGGCAGCAGTCGAAATCAATTAGTTTTTCAAAGACCATCAAATCAAACGGATTACAAAGCGGAGAGCAAGTTCCAGCTCCAAACCTAAAAAAAAAAAACAAAAATCATAACAAGAAGAAGAAGAACAAGCAACATGAAACTCTTGGTAAGTTTTGAATTTCTAAGTAGCCCTGAATTGGAATATTGAATTTCATTATCTCTGGCTTCTGCAGATCTTTGCCAGTCTTTGCATGGCCTTTGCTATGGCCGATGTGTCACACATTGTGGGCCATCACACCACCACACCCCAACCCCACGGTCCACCCAACCCTTATGTCTTCAGCTATCAGGCAGGTCGTGCACCCGGACATGTCGACCGTCAACATACCGAGGTCTCCGATGGTTCCGGCGTCATTCGTGGTGCCTTCTCCTATGTCGATCCCAAGAATCAGGTTCGCACCGTACAATATGTGGCCGATGAACATGGTTTCCATCCCCAGTTGAGCCACCAATTGGAGGACAGCGAAGCTGTTAAGGCTGCCAAGCAAAAACATTTCCAGCTCTACAATCGCATTGCCCAACAGCATGCAAGCGGTGTGGAACATCCAGCGGTAAGTGGCTAGGCGAAAAATGCCAAAGAGCATAACAAACAAACGGGTGGGCTAAGAAAAAGGGATTGGCATTGCATTTCGAGACGGAATTGATTTAAAAAAATAGAAACGTAAAACCCCCAAGGTCTTTGGTCTGGGTTGTGGTGGGTATAACAGTTTGGAAACGAAAACAAATCGCATAGCGAGTGGCCTAGTTTAATTGAATTCAATACACTTATGCATTATTCCGGGTAAAAACAACAAAAAGAAAAAAATAACAAATTTATGTGCAGCTCATAAGTAACGGGAATTAAAGCTCTTTTTGTTAAGCTCTCTCCCACTCTCTCTCCCCAGCACTCTTTAGATAGCAATTATAACTCTTCGTAATTCGATGTTTATTTATTATTTTTATTATTATTATTACTATTATTATTATTATTATTGTTATTATTATTATTATTATTATTATTATTATTATTATTATTATTATTATTATTATTATTTATATTATTATATATATTTATTTTTGTATTTATATATTTTATTTAATTTATTTATTTACTAAATTTTGCTTTATTTATTTTTTTATTTTTCTAATTTTTTTATTAATTTTTTATTTATTTTATTTATTTATTAATTTTTATTTTTTTTTTTTTTTCAATTCCAGGCCCCCCTAACCGGCCCCAACCAAAGCGAAGCCGTTGTCCGTGCCACCAACAAACATTTGAGCGAATATGAACGCATTGCTGCCGAACATGCTGCCCTTGGCGCCCAACAGGAGGCCCAACGTCAGGCCTTGACTGCCCAACATCTCTATGAAGACGAGGAAGATGGCCAATACCATCCTGAACGTTATTAAATATTGCCAATATTTATTAAATTATCCTGAATTTTTGTTATTTTTGTAATTTAATAATATTTTTTTATACCGGAAATCGAAAAAAAAAACTAGGAAAATAAACCAAAAACAAGACCTGTCTTTCCAATGTAGTCAAATATTTATAAAAAAATACCGATTTTTTTAATGGAAAATGGGGAAAAGAATCCGGTCTTTCTAGAGGAACTGGGGGAGTCTTCCTAAAAGAGATGGAGAGAATACTTTTAAACGAGTTGCAGAAAGTCCTTATAGACGAGACAAAGGGAATTTCTATGAACGAGTCGAATTGAGTCTTTTTAGTAGAGTTGAAGGGAGTATTTATAGACGAGCTGGAGGGAGTCTTTATAGACGAGCTGAGGGGCTCAGCTCTCTATATAGACTAGTTGAGGGGCTCAGCTCTCTATATAGACGAGCTGAGGGGCTCAGCTCTCTATATTGACAATCTCAGGGGCTCGGCTGTATATAAACGAGCTGAGGGGCTCAGCTCTCTATCTAGACCAGCTGAGGGGGCTCAGCTCTCTATATAGACCAGCTGAGGGGGCTCAGCTCTCTATATAGACGAGCTGAGGGGCTTAGCTCTCTATATAGACGAGCTGAGGGGCTCAGCTCTCTATATAGACGAGCTGAGGGGCTCAGCTCTCTATATAGACGAGCTGAGGGGCTCAGCTCTCTATATAGACGAGCTGAGGGGCTCAGCTCTCTATATAGACGAGCTGAGGGGCTCAGCTCTCTATATAGACGAGCTGAGGGGCTCAGCTCTCTATATAGACGAGCTGAGGGGCTCAGCTCTCTATATAGACGAGCTGAGGGGCTCAGCTCTCTATATAGACGAGCTGAGGGGCTCAGCTCTCTATACAGACGAGCTGAGGGGCTCAGCTCTCTATATAGACAAGCTGAGGGGCTCAGCTATCCGTATAGACGAGCTGAGGGCCTCAGCTCTCTATATAGACGAGCTGCGGGGCTAAGATCTCCGTATAGACGAGACGAGGGGCACAGTTCTCTATATAGACGAGCTGAGGGGCTCAGCTCTCTATATAAACGAGCTGAGTGGCTCAGCTCTCTATATAGACGAGCTCAGGTTTAATTGTTCCAAGAAAAATATTATAGAAATTCTCGGTTGTAAAAGAAAGGTTTTTGATAAAAAAAAACCCTTTGGTTGTTTGATATGCAATTGATAGAAAATATGTCAATGGTCTTCTATAGACCCTGGAGGATCTGTGAAAAGTCTTCTAAGGGCTTAGAACCTATCAATGGTCTTGTGTGGACCTAAGATTTAAGAGGCTTTTATTAACAAATGTCGTTTTCATCCATTGCCTTTCAATATCTTCCCTTTACGACTTGGTTGAGTTAATAGTCATTAAGTGAAGCATACTTTGAGGCGCCTTAAAGTGTTAAGCCCATCTCTGTTGATATGTTCTCCTTATTTTTAATATCATTAGCAATTTCCTTATTTAATCTTAATTTTCAATATCAACTCGAACCCAATTCTTCCCAATCGCCTTAAATTAAAGTCGCAAACTCCTTTAACCCGATCTCAATGCACTTTTCCATTTTTCATCAATTTCTCTGAAGCAAAAAAAAGGGGGAAAGACGAACGATAGAAAGAAAATATTTGAAAAATTTACATAATGCAAATCTTCAAATTGCATGCAACATATTCTATGTTCCCCAGTGACAACAACAACAGCAATCAAATGGGAACAACTTTGAAATTGATGTGACAGTTTCGCTGACTACTTGTTGGGAATTTGTTCAATATCTATCTCTGAGCTTCTTCGTGTTGCTGTTGTTGTTGCTCACATGCTTATCCCAATGCGTCGTTCGCTGTAGTTTTTATACCCTCCACCTTGGAAAGGAGGGTATATTAACTTTGTCATTCCGTTTGTAACATCCCTAAATATTCGTTTTAGACCCCATAAAGTATATATATTCATAATCAGCATAAAATTCTAAGTCGATTTAACGATGTCCGTCTGTCTGTCTGTCTGTCCGTCTGTCCGTCTGTCTGTCTGTCTGTCTGTCTGTCTGTCTGTCTGTCCGTCTGTCTGTCTGTCTGTTGAAATCACGATACAGCCCACATTATTTGACGTAGAGCTCCAAAATTTAGCAGAGCTATTTGCATTGTGTCTAAGATGGTTGGTATTGAAAATGAGATATATCGGTCCACGTTCTGGTATAGTCCCCATATAACGGTACCTCCCGATATTCGGTATTTTGATGATTTATGCCACATTTTTTCACGGATTTGTCTTAAAATTGGTATTTGTAGGTCATAGCGGGTCCCTGAGCGTGTGGCAAAACATTGCATGTATAGGTCCACGTTGTGGTATAGCCCCCATATAAAGGTACCTCCCGATATTCGGTATTTTAGTTTTTTTTGCCACATTTTTTCACTGATTTGTCTAAAAATTGGTATTTGTGGGTCATAATGGGTTCCAGCTCCGGTGGCGAAACATTGTAATTATAGGTCCACGTTTTGGTATAGCCCCCATATAACGGTACCTTCCCATAATCGGCATTTTAATGTTTTTTGCCACATTTCTTCTAATGTTTCTTTTACCCTAAGGTGGAGGGTATTATAAGTTTGGCCCGGCCGAACTTAATGTTTTTTTACTTGTTTCACTGATATTCAAGTGGAGCTGTTGCATGAAATTACAAAAAAAATTGAAAGGAGCTCCAATTTTTTTGTGTCGTTGTTTGGAGTAGGTCTTGTAAGTAAATGCCCTACTAGCGACGGCTAAGATTCCGTTATAGACGAGTCTAAGATATATAGACGAGCTGGAGGCCGGATCTATAGACGAGCTGGAGGTCGTCTTTATAGACGAGCTGGAGGTCGTCTTTATAGACGAGCAGCTGGAGGTCGTCTCTATAGACGAGCAGCTGGAGGTCGTCTCTATAGACGAGCAGCTGGAGGTCGTCTCTATAGACGAGCAGCTGGAGGTCGTCTCTATAGACGAGCAGCTGGAGGTCGTCTCTATAGACGAGCAGCTGGAGGTCGTCTCTATAGACGAGCAGCTGGAGGTCGTCTCTATAGACGAGCAGCTGGAGGTCGTCTCTGTAGATGAGCTGGAAGTCAGCTCTTTAGACGAGCTGGAAACCGGCTCTACAGAGGAGCTGGTGGCCCAGCTATCTCCATAGACGAGCTGGTGGCCCAGCCGTCTTCATAGACGAGGCTCTATGGACCACATGGAAACCGGCTCTATAGGCCACCTGGAAACAGGCTCTATGTACTACCTGGTAACCGGCTCTATAGACCACTTGGAAACCGGCTCTATAGACCAACTGAATCCGGCTCTTTAGACCACCTGGGAACCGGATCTGGCTCTCTTGCGTTGGAGACCGGCCGAATAACCGATCCTCTATAGCAAATCTTAAAACCGGTTTTATAGCAGATCTTAAGACCGGCTCTATAGCCAAGCCAATATGAAGGCCGCCTCTAATGCCAATATATAGCCAATCTGAAGGTCAGTTCTACAGCCGATAGGAAGACCAGCTTTATTGCCGACCTTAAGACCGGTTCTAAAGCCAAGCTAAAGGCCACCTCTACAGCCGATCTTAAGGCCGGTTCTATAGCCGATCTTAAGGTCGGTTCAATAGCCGATACTAAGAACGGTTCCATAGCCGATCTTAAGACCGGCTCCGTAGCCGATCTTAAGACCAGTTCTGTAGCCGATCTTAAGACCGGTTCTGTTTCGATCTTAAACCGGCTCTATAACCGATCTTAAGGCAGGCTCTATAACAGATCTTAAGGCCGGGTCTATAGTTGATGCTCTATGACCGATTTTGTAGCCCATTCTATAGCCGATCTTAATTCCGGTTCTTGATTTAGAATCTATAGACCTATCTTTATAGAATACCTAACCTATTCAGCTAGCCTGTATGTATATACCCTGGACCCCTTCCCCTCTTCCATAATACCATTTTAAGTCGCTCAAACCTCTCCCAGGGATATAAACATTCAATACTGCGAAAATCTCTTCCTTCTTTGATTATCCCTTTTTTTGTTGCTCACATCTAAGTTGGTGTTGTTGTCGTTCTTCTTCTTCTTGCTGCGACTACCGCTTGCCTTTGCACATTACAGGCTTCAGTTGCATCCTGCATTATTATTACTTCTACTTCTATACCACTTGTCACTGCTTTAGGATATTCCAAAGGAATTTTGTTGTTCTCATCGGGATACAATATAAAGCCCCTGGCGAACTGGCAGGCAGACGGACAGACGAATCGACAAACGGACGGACGGACATTGTAAGCGTGTATGTAAGTTGTTGTGTCGCCAGCCATTTTCATGTCATCGATGATGTTATTGTGCTCCCTCTCTCTCTCTCTCTCTCTCTCTCTCTCTCTCCCTCTCTCTGAAATGCGGATGTACGGAATTACTTTAGCTAAATCCTTCATATGACAGCAACGATAATGCATCATCAATATTTGTGACAAGCAGCAGCGCCAACGACAACAACAACAATTATTTTTTTACTTACAACAACAAAAGCACAGGATTTGTAAAAAAAACACATCCAAATCGAGGATTTTTTGAGCAGCAGCAGATGTGCAATTGTCACAGCAATGGGAACAACAAATTGCAACGAAAATTGCTGAGTGTGAGTCGGTGAGTGTGTGTGTGTGAGCGCGTGCAAGCAGCAGTAACAAACAACATGAGGCCAGAGGCAACAATAACATTAGGACCAGGAACTCGAACAACAGCGACAAGAAAAACATTATGAAATTGCGACCTATTCACAATGATTGTGAAAAAATATTTTTGCCAGCGTAGCGTCGATTATCTCACTGCCAGCGCTGGGGATTTGGGAACAGTGGGATTAAAAAAAATATTTTTTATTATTTTTTTTTTCATAAAATCAATTCAACTTGAATTTTGATAATAAAATGAATTAAAAAAAGGAAAATAATTTTTTTCTGCGTCTAAATCTATGTGGAGTTTTTATAATAAAATTGGCTTAAAGGAAATATATTTTTTTATTTTTTTTTTTATAAAATCTATTAAACGTGGATGTTTTACAAGATTTTGCTGGGAAAAATAATATTTTTTGGTCTAACTAAACGTGGATTTTTATAATAAAATTAACTTGAAAAATAAAAAAA